AGTGTGTATTCCAATTGTTATCTTCGCAGGTTCTTTCTTGTGATTGGTTGTTGGGAGTATCGTCAGAGCGTGAGAAACACTGTGTGTCCTCTCCCCATCTGTGCATGGTTGTGCTTCCGCTATCTTCTCTGATCTGTGTGCAGTTTGGACTCTGTCTCCTCTCCCCCTTTTCTTATGCATGTATGGGCATGTATGAGACTGTCTGTGTGTGAGTGGCGGTAAAAATCGTCAGACAACCAAGTTCATAACAGCTGGTATCGGAGCGAGATTGGAATTGGAGCACTGCGGGTTGAGTGCAAAGGGCATCTTCTTCATCCTGGCGATATACTGGCGAGAGTCTCATGACGATTCATCTTCCCCAGTACTGAGTCAGCAGGGAAGAAGACTTCAAGCGGTGGATTCAGGAGTTCAGTGCTTGTACCGAGCAAGCGCACTAAGCCTGTCAGAGCGCTTGTTTGAAAGTGGCGAGAACAGGGCCAATTCGCCATAGCCAACCCTGGGGGTAGGGTTGCGAAGTACCCCTGAGCGGCGAATTACCCCTGGAGACTTTAGGGATTGCTGAGCGGCTTCATCCCTGAGCAGCGCTGAGGGAGATTGTCAGTCTATGTCAATCTCAGGAGAGAATAACCCCATCTGGGGCTATTTATAGTATCAGCGGATCTCAGGTCCTGTGGCGAGATTTTATCAGATGCCGTTTTGGGGTGCCACAGGGCCAGATTCAGTGAATCTGACTAAAGGGAGGGCAGCGCTTCAGGATCCTGAACAGGATCAACAACTTTGAAGTGGTTCTGTGCGTGGAAGACAGAGGAAGAAGCTCTGGAAGAAATTGGCGAAGTGAGGGTACCAGTCTGCCATAGCCAGATCTTCACCAAGCTCTGCGGAGAACTCTGAAAGTGAGTCCGTTCCATGCACCTACCTGTATAGCGATTCAAATAGTTAGTAATTATGGTCTATCTGTCTGTCAGTGACTGGATGTGAAAACCGCAGACCGCATGACAGCCATAGCCATCGCTCTCCTATCTTCCTCTGCTCATTTCTCACCCTCTGTTGACTCTTTTCTGTCCAAAATTGTTTTGTGACTGCCTGACTGTATTGCGATTGATTCTGGATGCTCAGACTGTGAATTCGGTACTGGAAAGGTGGTGATACGGTGAATTAGTTTTGCGCTGAGTCTAATTATAGCTTGTGCTACCTAGGGTCAGCCACAACTTCAATTCTAACCGTCAGAATTCAGTTTTGTCAATTCCCAACAAATCGCAATTCAAAAACAGTCATTCCGACAGAATCGCTTGGTTGGATTTCTAGTATTTCACTGGAAACAGTGAATATTGTACTTCGTCATACCCTAGTGTATGGCTGCCAGAGTCATCAGGGCCGAAAAATGAGTTTGAGCTAGGATCCAGGGTCTCTGACTGAATCGCTTTGCTTATTTGATCTTTCTAGTCTGTACTTGCCATGTTCTATCATTCCCACTGGTTACTCTTGCTTTCTAGTGGGCTCTGGAAATCTAGTGTGTCTCTAGAAGAGTAGTGAACTGTGTTTACTAACTCCAGTGTGGTGCAGGGTATTGATTTTGTTGGACTGTCTATCTGACCACTGACCCCAGAGAAACAGTTCCAACCCAAACCGGTTGTTTCCCAATCACCCACCTGACTTCTGTGCATGAGTTGGCAGCGATTTCTGAGTATCTGAAGGGATCTGTACATCGCTTCATACTCTCTGCTGTTTGTCTATTTGTGTGTTCTAAAAGCGGAAAATGGTTGATCCAAGCGCTTAGCAGCAGCAGCCACAGGTGGAAGTGGTCATGAAGGTGGAAGGTGCACAATCTTCTACCTCCACTCCTACTACCCCTCTGACTGCTACTCAGCGGCGAAAGAAGGAGATCCAGGAAAGATTGCAGCAGGAACAGGCCCTGCTTGACGAAGTGGAGAGACAGGAGGCAGCCGAGCTAGAGGCTGCAACAGATGCTTCACGAAAGGAGTATCTGTTGGAGCAGCTTGGCAAGGCTGTGTCTGATGACCACTGCTCCCAGGTGAATAAGAACTTGGCGGAGTGGGCTCTTCTGGAGCACAAGACCACGACTTCTTATTTCACTAACTGGGATGACCGTATAGGTCGTCTGGAGCGCAGGGTGGATGACCTGGCAGCTCAGCAGTCCAAGATCCTGACAGCAATCCAGGATCTAACTGCTCAGCTGAAAGCAGCCAAACTGATCGTTCCCTTGTCTCCTGTTCTCTTAGCAAAACCCAAACCTTCCTCCTCTCCCTCTTCAACCCCCTCTGTTTCACGCCATTCTTCCCTTCACCACCTCTTTCCCAAAAAGCTACAGCCCGACCATCTTATGCATCTGTTGCTGTAGGAAACCAGAGAGGTCCCAAGATCCCATCTTCCAACAAGTTCAGAGGGGATGACCAAAAGACTGATGTTGGGGGCTGGGCTGTTGGGACCCGAGCCTACTTGAGGGGCGTCTGTGCAGAGCAGACTAAGGTGGCCACGATTCTGGGACTGCTGGAGGGACCCGCTCTGAAGTGGGCGACCTCAACTTCCAGCAGTCAGCAGCAGTCTATGGAAGACTGGGCTTTTGGGATGGGGGTGGACAAACTTTTGCAGGCCCTAGAGGACCGCTTTGCGGACGAGGAGCGGGCCCGCAAAGCTGCTCACAAGATTGCTCGCTTGGGGCAGCAGCGCTACAACGGTACCCTGCAATCCTTGTTTGCAGAGTGCGAGCAGCTTACCTCTACCCCTGGGTTGGTCATGTCCACTGATGATTTGCTGACCAACTTCTGCAGGGCAACGCCTGAGGAGTTTGTCGTTGCTTTGTACAGCGCTGAGCACAAGGACTGGAGATCCTTTGGCCGCGCAGCCCTGGACATGGAGGCCAAACTTCATGTTTAGGCCCCCTCCTCTGATAGGAGGAAAGGTGCCTTCCCTCATGGTGGTATAAAGGGAAAGGCAGCCTTCACACATGCAGGATCTGCGTCAGCTTCTGATTCAGATTCCCAGGCTGATACACCATCAGCTGGGACTGGACCAGCTGCTGAAACACATGTTGCAGCGGCCCTGACTCAGGCTGTTTTGGGAGTTCTGCAGCAGCAGAAGAAGTTTTCCCCCACCACAGCCTCAGCCAGTGCAAAGGGGAAGGACAAAGGACGTCGACCTTCCTCTTCCCAGCGCCCTAATCTGCCCAAAGACGTCCATATGCCAGCAGACCCTCTCAATCCCTCCACTCTCCCCTGGCATGACCTCAAGATCCCGGAGGGAGTGTGGAGAAGAAGAAAGGAACGAGGGGTCTGCCTGAGATGTGAGGGACAACACTTTTTGAAGGACTGCCCTTACATGCCAGGCCCAGGACAGTCAAAAAATTGAAGCAAACCCTGGGGACTGCAGTTCCCCCCAGTGCTGCATCTTCATCTGCCCAGGTAGGTGAACCTGCAGCTGTTTCAGTTGAGACTGATTGTGTGAGTTTGGGGACTGCACGGGCAGCATCCTTCTGCTATGAGGATCCTGACCCGGATCAGGACCCGGGGCAGGATGAGCTTCAGTCACTTGCTGCTTTCTTCCTTCATCTGAAGGAACAAAAGAAAAGCAAGTCTGATCTCATCCTACTTCGGTCCTTGATCAACCACAGCAGGATCAAAGGGTTGTTGGATTGTGGAGCCACCAAAAACTTCATATCTCCCTGTGCTGTTAAGAAACTGCATCTGGGGATGAAAGTTCAACAGTTGCAGCAACCTTTGCTGGTCGGAATAGGTGACTCCACAGTGCTCACCATCAGGGAGAAAGTCAAGGGTATCCCTGTGACTTTCGATAGTGCTGGCGAAGTCAGACATAGTCTGAACTTCTACATATTCCTTGACCTACCCTTTGACCTGGTGTTTTCTATGCAGTGGTTGAGGGCAGTCAACCCTAGGATCGACTGGCAGATTCCTAGAGTTGAACTATCAAACAGCCAGGGGGTGTATCAGCCATGCATGATAGTTGCTGATCATCACCCTAAGACCTCCTGCTACTGCTTACGAGCGAGGGAGTTCCATGCCCTCTCACGCCAATACCACCATGAGCGTCTATTTATTGCTCTG